ATGATAAAAGCACTGATGGATCAGATATTAGCAACAAAACTATGACCAAAATACTAAATTAAAATATCTAAGACAGGTTGCTGCCCAGCAAGCAAAATAATTTTCTTCAGATTCAACCTAAGACACACACATTAAAAATGAAAACAATCTTTTAGTATTTCTTTCTTTAGTTAAGCATGAAATTTCTGTCTGTCATTATCACTGTGGGGACAATCCAACCCTGCAGAAAAGCTAGAGGGGCAGATAAAGGACTCATTCACATTCAGGGTTAGTAGACAAAGGTGATGCACAAGTGACTATTTTCACTCCATGATCTTATTCTATGTTCCAAAGAGTTTCATCCATGAGGGCTTCTCTAAGCATGTCAAGGTTCCTGCCCTCAGTGAGCTCAGGAGGCAAAAACCAATGAACTTGAAACAATGAAGGATGACAGAGTTAGTGTCAATGCCCTTCTTTGTACCAGACATAGCCCATGATATTTTGCAACTTTGGGGGAAGACATGTAATTATCTCTTTTTCCCCAGATTAGAAATCTGAGGCATGGAGGCATAGTATCATACTTTTGGTATGTGTGAGAAATATTCCTGTTTTAAATTAATACACCAGATTTCTGATTTTGTAGCCCAGTCTGATGAGTTTGGAACCCCCTTGTGCAGCTATTCTCTCCTTTAGAAAGGATGGACGTTTATAAGACTCAAGAGGTAAATGAAGCTTACAGGTCTCAGGAAGTAAACCAAACTTACAGGTCCCAGGGAGCTGCTGGAACTTACAAGATTCCCAAGGCTCGTCCAGTAACAATTATTGTTAAATGATAAAAATTACTAATAAATGGTAACAATTGTTGGGGAGAAGAGACCAGGTTATGCAGAGAGCTCCAGAGATGCAAGTTTCTGGAAGAATTTAAAGCCTGAGCAACAGTTAACAGAGGATATAAGTGATAAAAAACAGTGTAGGTGAAAAAATTAATCTTGTCCAAGGAGTGAGGAATTATTTTCCCAGAGCATGTGGTTTATGTTTTTCCCCTATAAAAAGATATACTTGGAATGGACGGTGTTCACGAAGCCCAGGGCCCTTTCAGCAACCAGATGTGGCCACTGGAAATGTAGGGGTCACAGAACTAGCCTAGCATCCATCAGAACTAGAGGTGTGGCTCAGTAGCAGGCACCACAGGCTAAAATGCAGCCCTGCTCCCCACTGGGTCCAAGTCCAGCAGAATAGTACAAGCCAGCCCAGCCAAAGCTAGCAAGGCTGGAGATTCACAGCAGCCCCACAGCAGACCAACCATAAACATTTTTAATCTCACAGAGTAGAGCATAAGGACCAAAAAGAGAGGCAATTTTTTTCAAGAAAGGAAGGAGGCCCAATAAATGAGATCTAGCCTTCAACCATTCTCTATGCCTCACCACAGAAACATCCAAGCTAGGAAAGAAGAAAATCTTCCAGAGTTGAGATGAATGAATTTGGTTTTGGACTTAAATGACCCAGTAAATGAATACTCTGCACAATAAAAGAGAATCAGCGGTATACCATGTACCAATATTTTCAGGAAAAAAAAACTTTAAAAAATTACATTGCCATCTATGAAGAAAATGAAATCAACTTTATTATTTTTTTCTTTATATAATTTTTTTTGGTCTTTTTGAGACAGGGTCTCCCTGTAGCCCCAGCTGGCCTGGAACTCAGTATGTAGACCAGGCTGGCCTGAACTCACAGAGATTTGCCCGCGTCTGCCTCCTGAATGCTGAAATTAAAGTCATGGGCCACAATGCCCAGCCAAAAATGTAATCTACTTTAAACCTAGTATTAGCAATGGCATGCTACAGGGACCAAGACTTCCATTTCTCAGGGAACATTCTTTCTGTCTTAGTCTGTAGGAAGTCAGAACATTTCTTTTGAGGGATGCAAAGGCTGAGAATACATTCTTAGTTTAAAACCTTTCCCCTGAGCCTTTGTCTTAGCAAGTAATTTAAAGGTGTTGTCCAAAAAGAAGATGATGGTGGGTTTAGGAACAAGCAAATCATGAGATTATTAGCAGATAGTAATATATGTGAGCCATGCTGCTGACCCAGTTGACAGAGCCCAGGAGCAGAGGCAAAGTTTCAGGATCTACCCCTAAAAAGCAAGCAAGGATGAAACACTAGACAGAAATCACAAAATGTCATGGAAGAAAAGAGGTAACAAGAAACTCAAGAAAAACACAAAAAGTTGCACAAGACAGTAAGGGATCATAGATGAAATAAACTGTAATATGTCATGATTTCAGCTTCAAAGCTTTGGGTAAATTGTAAAAAAAAAAAAAAAAAAAAGACTCAACTTGATCTCAATGCTAGGAATGTGTCTGGCCCCTCCAGGATCATAATGATGAACCAGTCAGGAAGGTATAATTCTAGTGGATAAACTATCCAACTCTGAAAATATTATATTGCCATAAAAATGTAAATTGCTTTATTGGGAGTTAAATTCTTAAAGCCTACTTATAAAAAAATCACAGAAGATCTGCTTGCGGGTGACAAAATGTTCATACACATAAAATAAAAATAAATAAAATCTTAAAAAAATAATAATTCATCAATCATTAGGAGGAGGTTAGTGAGGTAAAAGAGCACATAAACCTTCCTCTTTCCTATGGTGATGTCAACAGTGTTTAAAGTGAGTAAATCAAGAATGGGGATGTAAGTTTATCATCCAGCATTATGGAATACCATCAGCAATGCTTAAGCCTGAAAATGCTGGGAGAAGCTGTCTCTTATGGTAAAGATAGAATTAAGAGATTAGATAAAATAAAAAGCTAAAGCATCCATTCATCACAAGGAAAGGAATAATACCACAAAGGTAATATGGAAATTTGATTGAATGCACACACACACACACACACACACACACACACACACACACACACACACACACATCTTTGCCCCTACCATCTGCTTACACTTAGTTTCTGTTTCCTTGGTATTTTGTTTGTATGACCCTTGTAATGGTGCTACAAACAGATGCATAAAGAGTAGTAATACTTTCTTGTCAAAAGTGAGGCTACAGGGAGGAGCCTTCAGGGAGGCTGGGGACAGACAGAGAACCTGACAAGAGGGCCAGGCTGGACAGGACAGCTGCCCCAGCATCTGAGGCAATACAGTAGGATCAAATCATCAGCCATAACCAAGCAGAAGGGAGCCAGGGCAAGGCACCCTCATTTCTCATCCCTCTTCAGGGGCTGAGGTCCAGCCTCCCCAGCAAGGCCTGGATGAAGGGGGCAGGAAATTTGGAGAGGAAAAGAACCACTAGCATGTCCTCATGGCCTTCTCCACACACTCCTCTGTCATCTTCTTCTTGACAGTTCCTATTTCAGCAGAGAAAGTGGAGTCCTCTTCATCATTGTCAGCCTCTGGAGGTACCTTCCTAGTTTGCCTTCCTGGTGCAGTCAGCTACAATGGACATAGCTGGACTTCAAAACATCCTCATTTCACCTGCTCACGGGTCTATGCAAAAATGTGTGCATGTGTTTATATCATTCCATTATACAATAGCCATTGTAACACTGTGACAGGCTTGCTTCAGGATATAAGTGATAACAGAGACCTTTCCATCCAGACGTGGTGACATCACTATGGGACAGACACACTACTCTGTACCAGAGTTTGATTCATGTGTTCCAGATGAGGGAGTCCCACAATTGAGGATTAGTCAGTAAAGGTGTCCAGGGAATGGATAGATGGGGGAGGCTCCATTTCACCCAGTGCAGACAATCCAGCTGCAGACCTCTGCTCCTGAACACCATACTTACTACATCTTGAAGGAAAAGAAAATTAGTATATTCTTTTTTAAAAGGTTTATCTTTGGGGAGAATTCTTTTTTCCCTCTCAGTTTCCAAAAGAGAATATGTTATAGCAGCCTTACAGTCATCCAAAACGTTATTTCCAGGGGAAACTAGGTGAAGGGTGAACAGGAGATCACCATGTTCTTAGAACTCCACATGAATTTATACTTATCTTAAAATAAAGTTAAGTATACTTAACATTTTTAATGAAAACATATTTTTTAATTTTTCTCAGAAGGTAGATCTTACATGAAACGATATTACCTCAAGCATAGAATTAACAGTAAAGAGAGGAGAGTGCCAACTTTGGGGACACTGGATGTGTTCCTGGCTTGGATGGTGGTGATGGTTTCCCGGGGCACACTTGCCCCCAACGGTATACAAATGCCAACAGGTACAGCTGCTCACATGTCATTTATAGCTCAAGAAAGTGCTTTTTTTAGGCTAAAGAAATATTAACGCAGCAGTATCGAACACTGCTTATTCATCCGCATGCCAGGCGCTGTCCTAGGTGCAGGGGACACAGAAACCAAAGCCGGCGAGGGACCTGCCCTCTTGGAGCTGGCATTCCAAAGCAGTTGGTTTGTCCAAGGCTTCAATTAGTGGATTTTCTTAAAACTCAAGCCACTACATAAATGAGCATTACATAAATGATAATTCCAAAGTATCTTTAAGGAAAAGCTTCCAAGTCCCCCAAAGGAGAGCTGGTTAGGTTTCCTGGGCTGCTTAACCAGATTCAACATTTATAAATACCAAACTTGTCCTAAATCACAAATAAACAAGTTATTCTTTCTACGCTAGTGCCCCTGGGAGTTTAGCAAGGACTGGATCCCAGGCCCCTTGGAGACCAACATCTGTGGATGCCCAAGTCCCTTCTAGAAGATTTGCATTTAGCATTTGCACAGCCCCCTGTATAATTTACTCATCTCTAGATTGTAACCCACTATGATAAAATGCTATGAAAATTGTATTTTTTAGTGAACCACAAGAAGAAAAAAACTCTGTACATGTTCAATTCACACTTAGCTGGTTTTTCTGACTATTTCCTCTGTTGGTTGGTTTAATGCATGGAGGTGAAACACTCACACAAGTGTGCCCACTGGTACCTGTCAAATTTAAACCAGATACTGTTCCACACTGGCTTTCAGACTCTGACTTCCTTCTCTCTTGCTTCTGCTTGCTCTAGGCTGCAGACAGTGTCCAAGTAGGAAGCTGTGCACACAGGCTGCCGCCAGAGACAAGACAAGGATGTGACTGATGACTCACAAATCTCAGCTAGCATTTCCAAAGAAAGACTTCCCCCAACTTTTCCAGGGCCCTAAAGATCCTCAGGTGTGGAGGGAAAAGATGCAGCTAGCAGACAGAAAATGAAAGCCACCCAGACGCTGAAGGGTGCCCTTGCAGCCATTTCCACCTGGGTTCCAAATTTTTCTCCACAATGGCTTGTAACAGCACATCCATTGAGACTTTTGAATACCTGCTGCTGAACGTGAGCAACGTGTCCGCCGCCGGGGCCACCCCGCTGTCTGCCCCACTCAGGATATCACTGGCAATAACTATGCTGCTTATGATTGTGGTGGGATTTCTCGGCAACACAGTGGTGTGCATCATCGTGTATCAGAGGCCAGCCATGCGCTCGGCCATCAACCTGCTGCTGGCCACCCTGGCCTTCTCTGACATCATGCTGTCCTTATGCTGCATGCCTTTCACCGCCATCACCCTTATCACTGTCCACTGGCACTTCGGGGACCACTTCTGCCGCCTCTCGGCCACACTCTATTGGTTTTTTGTCCTAGAGGGCGTGGCCATCCTGCTCATCATTAGTGTGGACCGCTTTCTCATCATCGTCCAGCGCCAGGACAAGCTGAACCCACGCAGGGCCAAGGTGATTATCGCGGTTTCCTGGGTGCTGTCTTTCTGTATCTCAGCGCCCTCGCTCACCAGCTGGACGTTCGTGGAGGTGCCTGCACGGGCGCCACAGTGCGTGCTGGGCTACACGGAGTTCCCGGCCGAGCGTGCTTACGTGGTGACGCTGGTGGTGGCAGTGTTTTTCGTGCCCTTCGGTGTCATGCTGTGCTCCTACCTGTGCATCCTCAACACGGTGCGGAAAAACTCTGTCCGTGTGCACAACCAGTCCGACAGTCTGGACCTGAGACACCTGACCCGGGCCGGCCTGAGGCGGCTCCAGCGGCAACAGCAGGTCAGCCTGGACCTGAGCTTCAAAACCAAGGCCTTCACCACCATCCTCATCCTCTTCGTGGGTTTCTCGCTTTGCTGGCTGCCGCACTCTGTCTACAGCCTCCTGTCTGTGTTCAGCCGGCGGTTCTACTGCAGTTCCTCCTTCTACACCACCAGCACATGCGTCCTGTGGCTCAGTTACCTCAAGTCAGTCTTCAATCCCATCGTCTACTGCTGGAGGATCAAGAAATTCCGTGAGGCCTGCATAGAGTTGCTGCCCCAAACCTTCCAAATCCTTCCCAAAGTGCCTGAGCGGATCCAGAGGAGAATCCAGCCAAGCACCGTCTATGTGTGCAACGAAAACCAATCAACTGTCTAGGAAGCAGGGAAGAGGCCACCAACTGACCACCCGGAAGGGGTCCCTGCAGACTGTTTCCCCGACGTTAGCTGTTGTTTGCATTTTGTGGTGACTACAAAAGCACAAAGGTACTCATCTGTTACCAAGACAGCTGTGGCACTCAAACATCTCATTTCCACAGGATGAATTCTTTCTGTTTCTCATCCCAAAAGAACCATGTGTAGTTATAGTGGGCACCCGGGCATAGAGAGGTTGGTTGGAAAGTGAGAAAGGATGAGGGGAAGAGGAGAGTGAAGCTGGCTGAGGTTGGGGTAGGTCGAGGGTCTGTCAGAAGAGCCCATCTCTTCCATCCCACTCCTACCCCACATACTCAGAAGAAGCCCCCAGTGCCAGACTCTGGTGTCCAAGTTCACTTTGAAGCCAGCATTCCTCAGAGCTGTATCTGTGGGGCCTAGGAATATCACAAAGGTCTTTGCATTGGTCAGATGCGAGTTTCTGACCATGCCAAATTATCCTTTCTAGAAAGAAGTAGAAATCACCCTGGGATGCCCTTGAGGTCCCCAATGTGGCAGGTGGAGGGCCTCAATGACCCTCAGAGGGTATTCTGGGACAGCTCAACTAATATGAGAAGTCCACTTGGGCACTCATGCCTGTGCCCACTCCTCACACATTTATCTGACTGTCCTGATGGTTCCTGTCCCTCTGTCCCTGTCCCCTCTGAGTTCTTCGTTTTCATACTTTCCAGTGTGCTAAGAAAATACCTGCTGTGACTCGCCTTTGAGCAGGTATTTGTAGGGACTCGTTCTCAGAACCAGAAGCAGCTAGTGGCTGGGCTTTGTTTACACACTTTCTCTGGACACCCCAGAGCTTTGAGAGGCACCAAATCCACATCAGCACTAGAATTGCTACAGGGACAGAACAGATTCCCCACCCCAGCTGGGCATCCCCACTTATCTCTGTCCCTCCTTCACTCATGTCCACTGCTACTATGGGATCTTCTTGCCCAGGACCAGATACTGGAAGTGAAGCTACCTAGAGGGGCCTTTTGCTTGCACCCCTAAACTTGGCCACCATGTCCATGGCTGCCCATTATGACCAGGAGCTTCTGATGCAGGGAGGTGATTTCTGCAAGTACAGGGCACAGCACTGGGTCCACTGAGCTCTCTTTACAAAGTCAGATCTGACAAGAGGGAGAAATTTAGAAGATCTGATTCCAGGTCTAACTCTTTCAGGGACTAGTAAACTCTTTTGTTCATTAATTGGCCTCCATTTCCTCATTTTCCAATGGAGGAAGTCAATCTATGTGACTGCAATCTCCTTGATTCTATACTGAGTGTTTTCTTCCTGGAATCACCAGATCCCCTGCATTCATTTTTTCATTCATGCAATGAGCATTTATTAAATGCCCATTGGATGTAAGGCACCATGCAGGCAATAGTGATGAATGAGGCTGAACTGTGCCCCAAAACCAGTTGTCTGATTTATCTCAGGATAGTGGGAACTTAGTCCAAGAACACAGAAGCTCCGCTTTGCCTCATTTCTTACTTCTTTCCAAGTGGCAGTCAAGGCCAGCTCCACACTCTCCCACTCTCTTCCTGTGGTTGTGGTGATGGAAGCAGAGAAGGAAGGGGGTTAAAGAGCAGAACATAATTTATATTAACCTCAGCCCAGGGGATAGTCTGTCAGAAAAAATGATTGGCACTTGTTTCCACCAACCAAGAGGAAGAGAGAGAGGATGGGATGGGTGGGGCGTGTGGTTTATTACGACTGGTCCCACCAATTCTCTGGCCCTCCACATGCCCTAGCAAGGCTAGGGTCAGCCTGAGCTCCCATGAGCCAGGGTTGCAGGGCCCGGTGGTGCCCAAGAGCACCACCAGACCACTGCAGGGAACAAGCCTAAAGCACCTCCTCTCCAGTGACATTTCAAAGAATTTTCTTCAGGAGCCTAGAGCAAAGAGAAATCACAAAACCCAATGAAAGTACCAAATTTTACATCAATTCATGTTATATGATATATGTTGGATAGTAATATATATGTTTCAAAGTAATAATTTTGTATATATTTTAAATAAAGTATTATGGCTCTTTCAGTGTATATAATCATGTTTTTGTCAATTTTTTTGCCCCTGGATCATGAAGTCTAGAATCCAGTGTCTAATACCTCCTTATCAGTCGGGTAAGGCTACTGTAATAACACCTTTGACTGGGTACTTACAAATTATGGAAATATAGATTTTACAGTTCGAGCAGATCTGGTGTTCCAGAAAAGCTGTTCTTTGGTGCATAGATGGTGTCGTGTTGCTGTGTCCTCACATGACAGAAGAAGAAGGGAAGCTCTCTCAAGCTCTGTGTGTGTGTGTGTGTGTGTGTGTGTATCTGTGTGTTACGCATGTGTGCCTGATTGTGTGTGCACTTGTGTGTGTAGGTGCATATGCACGTGTGTGAGTGTATGTGTGGAGGCTACAAGTTGACCTTAAGTGTCTTGATTGCTCTCCACCCTTTTTTTCAAATAAAGGTGCTAGTCCTGTTCATGAGGATGGAGCCCTCAATGGTTTAATCATGGCCCAAGGACCCCTCCCTTAACACTATCAGATTGGTATGAGGATGCAATGGTAGAATGTTGGGGAAACACTAGCTAACATTCTAACTCCAGCAACTCCAGCTGAAAAGTCTGAAGAAGGATGTGACAGTAAGATGACAACTGGAGATGCTGGAGCCACAGGGGTCACAGCCGAGGCGCCCAGAGGCGGTTGTTTGTCTTTTATCAGGGTGCTGCGGAGTCATCGAGCAGCTAGTCTTCACTCTGACCCCGGTTGGTCACTCCCAGACTTACTGACACCAAAAAAAAAAAAAAACAAAACACCAACACAAACACAAACACCAAAACAAACACACACACAAAAAACCTCCCCGTTTCCTGAGGTGTGGTCTCCTTCACCAAGGCTTGGAAGGTCTTGCTGTTTGAATGGCTCATCTGTTTCTCGTCTTCACTTTGACCCAGGGTTCAGCCAGATCTTGGGATCTGTGTGGAATCAGAGCAGCTACATGTCTGGATCGTTTCTGTGGAGGCCTGGGAAAGAGAAAGAAACCTCAGAACCACAGGATGCCTTGCAGATGCCAGGGCCGCCACATGGAACAGCCTTAGACATGAGAACCAAAGTCACATCCTCAAGGGGTCCTGGAACCAGTCCCCTGCAGATGCCAAAATCTAGAGATGCTCTGTCTTTTCTATAAATGGTGTTGTATTCACAAAACCTACACATAATCCTCCTGTATACCTCAAACCATCGATAGATAACTTTCAACCCAAACGATGCACATGCTGTACAAGTACTCAGTATACTGTATTTTTGAGGGAATAATGACAAGGCAAAAGTCTGTACATGTTCAGTACAAAGGAACTTTGTTCAAATATTTTCCATTCATGGTTGGGTGAATCCATGGATGCAGAACCCAAGGGTGTTATTCCAATTGCAACTAATCCCTAAAATCTATCACCTTTCTTTCAATTTTTTTAAACATTCATTTGTTTATATGTGTGTGTGTGAGAGAGAGAGAGAGACAGAGACAGAGACAGAGACAGACAGAAAAACATGCCATAGCATGCTTGTGGAGGTCAGAGGACAGCTTGAGGGGTTGGTTCTCCTCTTTCACCATGGTCTGGGGAATTTAATTCAGGTTGTCAGGCTTGGTGGCAAGTACCTTTGCCAACTGAGCCATCTCATCAGTCCTCACCTCTTCATCTTGAATCTGGGTCTCCACCATTGGGGTAAAATAAAAGCAAAATTTCCAAAGGATGTTGTGAGACGAGCAATGAAAATCTAGATCAATTTCTGCTATGCCATTTGAACACTCTGTGTGATTTCCCCCTATACAACTCATAGAACAATCTGTTTGGGACTGAGCCCAGAGGATTTTCAGTGTGTTTTGGTTCTCCTTGCTCAGCCTGACTTAGCATTCAGGCTGGAGTCCCAGAGAAACTGGAGTGTGTATAAGGGAGACATGCTCCAGAGATAATCTGAACCCCAGGGCTACCTCACTCCCTTTGTGAGTCTGGGTGAGTCATAGAGCACTTTTTAACCTCACTTTCCTCATCTTTGAAGTGAGAATCCTCCCAGGCCAGAGAACCAGAGTGAAGGACAAGCAAAGGGTGAGGTGTAGTTGACAGAAGAGTACTTGTCCAGCATGCACAATGCCCCGTCTTCCATCCCCAGCACCACCTATATAAACAAGCAGAAATCACTTATTTAAGGGATTGAATTTTAGGAAGGCCTGCTCCATGATGGGCCCTGGGATTGGGAGGCAGTAATGGCTTCAGATGGAGTGTGGACTTGCTTCCTATCAGTTTTGTCCTTTTTACGGGCAAGAGAGGAAAAACTTGTGTCAGAAACAGGCTGTTGAGTTCTTCTAAACTAAAATAAATCCCAAACAATTCTCCAATTAGATTAGCACCTGGTTCAGTCAAGTTTTGTTGACCTGGACGTGGCATCAGGTTCCACAGACTTAGGGCTCGGTTCCTAAGACTAGCCCCTACGCACACTTCAGATGCCGGTGTGAATATCGAGCTGTCACCTAAACTTCAGGTTAATGGGCTATAAACTGGAGTTCTGATGATGCCCTCCTGGGCAGGATGAGGAACGGGAGGGACGGGGGAGGGGGAGGGAGAGAGGGAGAGGGAAAGGTTCAGCTAACCGAACCCAGGGAACCATTTTACTTACATTTACCCTTTCATTACAGAGGAAATTACAGAAAATACAGATGGACAGGCAGAGGGGGAGGGGAGGGAGAGAGGGAGAGGGAAAGGTTCAGCTAACTGAACCCAGGGAACCATTTTACTTATATTTACCCTTTCATTACAGAGGAAATTACAGAAAATACAGATGGACAGGCAGGTGGAGGAGATGAGGAGATTGAGGCCTGTGGGGAGGGCACTGTGTATTCCTGCTGTCTCCAGGGCATATTCCTGCCTTCCCCAGGGCATCACCCTCTTGTAAAACCTCCCCTGGTTCTGCCACTGGAAGACCATTCGAACTCATCTTTGGGTTTTTATGGAGGCCTCATTGCGTAGCCTTGGTTGACGACATTACTGGCCGTTAGTGATCAATGCTCCTCATACCAGGGATTGGGGTGGGGCTGAAAAGTCCCAGCCCTCTGAACTCTAATGGTCTTCCTGGTAGCCAATGCTACCCTGAAGCAACCTGGAGGCCCAAGCCACTAGCCATATCAACATACAAAGAAATGATTACTCTGAGACTCCCCAAGTTTCCTGAGCTGTGTGTCAGAACCCGGAGCAGAGACCAAAATACATGATCCTTATGTCACAGCATAGTCCTCATCCTCATCTGGCCCAATATTTCAAAGCACAACACTCCAGGAACAACACTGGGACTTTGAAGAGCAAAATTCTGCCTTCTGGCCTCCACTGCACCCTTTATACTGTGCAAATCTCTGCTGGCTGTGAGCTGCCCTGCAGGACTGATGGGAGGAATGGCATGGACATGCGTGCGGCCTCAGCCACACACCTGGAGGAAGCCTGCTCTTCTAAGGGGCTGTTCGGAGGCCCACGTGGGAAATCAAGGATGGAGGAATGAGACAGGAGCGTAGGACAGCAGCAGAGACAACCAGAGAGCACTAAAGTGCCTTCTGAACAGGCAGACATTGAAACTAAGGTTTAGGATAGCTAGACACACTGGTTGTCATTCACGTTGTTCCTTTTACCTAGTTCTCCATCATCCTCTAGGACATGGTCTTAATCTGAGGGTCAGTCAGGGCTGCAGTCACTTCCGTGTTCTAGCACAGGAGGGTGAGACAAGTATAGGGAATCACATGCAGTAAGTCAAGTCTACACATTACCAGTCCTCCATGGTCACATGACCATAGCGACCAAAAAGGAGGCTGGGAAACGGAATCTGTAGTTGTGAGGCTGTGTGCCTAGCTAGAGCTTACCACCCCTGGAAGAAGGAGGATTGGGTGGACTTCCAACAGTGTCTGTCAATAACCACACAATTTAAAAATAAACCAGGGGCTGGAGAAACAACTCCGTGGTTAAGAATACTTGATGTTCTTCCAGAGCACCTGGGTTTGATTTCCAGCACCCACATGGCGGCTAACAATTGCCCGTAACTCCAGTTCCAGGGGATCTGACACCCTCTTCTGGACCCTGTGGAGCATTACAGGCAAAACACTTATGCACATAAAATAAAAATAATAAATAAAATATTTTTAAAATAAACAAGAGATCCTAGACACATGGGACTTCTGAAGTCCTAAGCATAAATTTCATGAATGAGACTTTGCTTATGTAAAAATAGGTATCTCCATTACATCAACTGAAGATGATGACCTCTCTTTTTACCCTAAACTGCCAATAGATACAGAGGCAGAAACTTACATACAAAGGCAGAAACTGCAAGTTTTTATGCTTACAGTAAGGAGAAAGGGACCACATTAAATTTTGCAGACACAAATGATGGGAAACATAAAAGCTAAAGTGAAATTTTACAGTCACATAGGGATAGCTCTGCTTAAGATAAGGGAAAACGCTGTTTAAAGCAAAACTGAGATCAACTCTAAGAATTTGACTATGTTGAAGGAAAGAGTAAATTCAAAGCTCCAGGTGCTGCATGGTAGAGACTGGTTGCTGCTGGTAGAGTGCATGGGGGCCAAACCATGGTAGTTTAAACATTTAAGGGACGAGAAGGCTTGGGATCCTTACTTGGAATCTCAATTTTATACTAATAAAGGGAAGTCTGAGTGCAAGTGAATGAGGTGTATGTGCCATTCGGGGCAAGTGTCCAAGGTTATTACAACAGAGAGTTCCATATTCCTTCCTGTTCCCTGTACTTCATCCCAGGAGAGCTAAGAACAAGGTGCTCTGGGAAGAGGAGCGGTGCCAGAGGTTGGCATGGTCACAGAAGGAATGAGTAAAGACCATCACACAGTTTCACAAACCCTTGTTAGTCTGATAGG